AAATCGTTAAAATTAGACCGGCGGTCTTTATGTTATAAGAGTAGTAACTAACACAACTTTCTTCTACATATAGAGAGATAGATTTAAAAGTAGGCGCGTTTCCCAGCCCCTAAATAAGTACTTAGGGTAGGATGGAAAGCCAACAGCATCTCGTGTAATAATTCTCAAACCGATATCTTCACTATTTTGGCAAATATAAAGATTTTAGATAAATCGTAATAGTGGGCGTAAAAGGAGGCATGGTCAATATTTCTTTCTTTACAACCTAACTCGGGGTATGACGAACGTTTGTACAAAAAATTATGCAAATCGGTCCAGCCATTTCCAACTGATTCCGTTACCAACAAACAAAATTTGATTTTTATATATATAGATTATATTATATTATATTACTAGCTGGCCCGGTCCGCGTTGCCGGCCCGTAGTTTTTGTCTATTATGCACATTTGTAAAAGCATAATTATTCACAGATATGATTGATATAAGTGTTCACGTACAGGTCGATCAAAAGTATTTTAACATACCTGTACCCATTTTAATGCTCGGGCTTCAATATTTAAACCGTGGGCTTCAACTGTGTGGATGTGCTATACAAATCTATTAAAAAGTATATATCAATCTTATCCCCATGTAAGGAATCAAATTAATTGTTAGAATGGTAAAAAGCGTAGCGAAATTTTCCAGTCAAATGAGCAGTAATTTTGAATTTACTGTATTTTGTACATCTCATAATTGAGGGCTGAATGATTTAAGAATAGCCAAAGTTATTTGCTTTTTTAAACCCATTAGCACCTCAGATTATGCATTAGATTTCTCATAATAAAGGGGTACTATTACATGGAGAAAATTCTAAAATTTGTAGATATGTTGACATTTTTTGTAAGATTTTCACCCCCCAAATACACATTTTTAGCCAAATCCTTTGAAATATGGTAAAATCAGGAGGTACCTTTATATGGGCACTACTGCGAAGCATCGACCTACATTGAAAACTTTCGTTTACCCCTTTTAATCCAAGATGATAAATAGAGGCGAAATCAAAAATATAGCAGAACAACATAGCATGTCAAACTGATTTTTGCGTGATTTAAATAAGTAAAAATAATTTTATGCACCCCATAATTGAAGGCAGAATGATTTCAGTATAATCAAATATAATTACTATGTTACGCCCATTACCGTAAGATTAATTTTATTTGCCAGTTAAATTGTAATTTGGTTACCCCATAAAGTCCATATTTTTCATCATAGTATAATAGTATAGTATAATTCAATGACGATTCAACAAATATTTGGTCCCGTGCTACTTTCTTATATTTGTAATTTATTCATGTTTCCACAATTTATTTCATATAGATGAACATCCCAAATCTATGTTCCCAAACAATATTCTCTTGGGAGTTACAAATTCAATAGAATACAAAATTTTCTTTTTTGACCACACATTAGATGTGAAAGTGGACTTGGGGATACTCCAATGTGGGGACTTTACTTAAATAAATTCCTATGTGGCAATTATCTGTTCCCTACCCCAGGGTGGCATAAATACAATTTTTTAGCCAAATCAATTGATAAATGTGGTCAAGACAAATATGGGCCCTCCTCTGAAAATTTCAAATTTTATGCGAAGAGGTTCTCTACCCCCTTAGAAACAAAAATGCCAAATAAGGTCCAAAAAATGACCCAAAAATAGCTTAAATCGAAAATGGTTATATACATATGAAATCGGGTTGTTCCCTTATCCGTGAGTTATGATCGATATAAAGACCTGCAAAAGCGATTTAAGGTATTTTGAATGTTTGGGAAGAATTTCTGGAAGGATAGAAAACCTTTTCTTACTAAAATTCCCAGCTGAACCACAATGTAGGCTCTGGAGTTGAAGGGTAGATGTCAGTAACATCCTATTTCGCACTTATTTCATTTTTTTGGTTAAAAATTGTATATAGTGAAAAATTATTCTTTATTTTGTTCACAAAAAATCTGAATTGAATATGATAATACAAATTTAAAAAAATTGACAAAAAAAGAATAACAAATTGAAAAAATCTTTAAATTGTTCGCTGATTTTTTACAGCAAATGTTTAAAGGTCGTTACAAAGTTTTTCAATAGAATGTACTATTATTTTAAAAATCGATTCCATAGACACTTTTTTTCTATTTTTTCCCGATTTGAAAATTTTTGCAATGAGATCTCTTTTTCATGATTTTTTAGCGATTTTGAAAAAGTAACTATCTTTTAACTTTGGTGTGATCGCGTTAAATTATATCGATATCATCTATTCCGTTTCGCCACAACATAATTTGGTACTACACTTCCATGTAACCCGTCATCAATTTCAGTTCTCAAGAAATCAAGTCAATTAAATAAATTGGTATTAATATTAGAATTCAAAAATAAAATATAAAAAACACTACAAATGTACATTAGAAAAAAGTAAGTCAAAATGGAAAAAATCATGCAAAATAAAACATTACTATTGTACATTTGAAAAGTCAAAATG